TCTCGAGGAACCGTCAAAAGACTATTTAAGACCATAGAGTAAAGATATCCGTGGTTAGGTGACAAAAGAACGTGTGGATTGCACTTCGTCTAGCGGCGCATGCTGATGCATTCTTCCCATTACAGATGATGGCTTGCGACTACATTGGAAATGGACAGTAGCGTTGAGATTATCTCTCATTTCCTTTCAGTCAGCCTGTCTGTGTTCTTTTTCACGTCTTTTATTCTCTCGTTCTCCCTCTCTTTCTTTCTTATGTGCATAGTGGATAGAGTTTTCTCACTGCAGGCTGTTTCTTTTGCTAAGCTGAGTAAAATGCAAATGCCGTACATGAGAAATAAAGGAGGAGAGGACAATTGTGATTTTTGCTCCAATTGTTTTGAGCTTTACCCACAGAAAACCTCGAATATAGCCGAATAACACTTTTGCTGGAACCTTTTGGAGGTGCTGTAGTGTTCTTTCTAGAAGGAAATTATTAACATCTCTCAATGAGTCAGACAATCGCTTTTGACGACTTAGAACGGTACACAATATGTGGTCATATCCAGAATATAATGTAAACATCTGTCCAAAACAACTTTCTATACATTGCTAGAATACTCAGCCAGCTGAGATGGCGCACGAGAGAGAGAGACGAGGACAGAAGGAAAGATAATCCTAGCCCCTATAAAGGAGCTTTCACTGAAAGAAGGCCTTGTGTGTCTTGTGTTTATCAGAGGGACTTGCTCTTACCTGCAGGGGGAAAAGAGATTTGAATTGCAGTCACTTGCAGTAGAAAGCATAGCACTTTTGAAACTTTCCTCAGACTGAACAGTTTCAGCTCTGTAGAGCTGGAAATGTTCACACCATCTCTGCGATGTCATTTCAATAAGGCAGTGAGGCATCTGAAACGGTTTAACATTTCTAATCATGCACCTCAACAAAATATAAGCACCAAGTTCACTTAAGTCTAGAGAACAACATAAGGTAGAAATTTTGTTGCTCCTTTAAAGGGGAAACATGAGGTTGGTTATAACGCTGCAAATGCCTTGTCTAGCCCATTTATAGCAGCTTATTTAGTAGTGAATGTCAATAGGTGTAAATATTTCCCATGTTTTCTCTCACAAGAAATCACTCAAAAATATGTATGGAAAATAACGGCCGGGCTGCTGAGTTAGGCCTCTGTGTGATTCAATTCCACTAGGATCTACTGTGATCCATGTGTGGATTCCATTGGGAAATATGTGCTTTGATTAATGTAATACAGGGACTGGGGGAAATAGGTGTGTGGGTATGTGTGTGTGTGTGTGTGTGTGTGTGTACCTGGTATTTATCACGTTATGGGGACCAAATGTCCCCACAAGGATAGTAATACTAGTAAATTGTGACCTTGTGGGGACATTTTTGAGGTCCCCATGAGGAACCAAGCTTATAAATTATACAGAATGAGTTTTTTTGAGAAAGTAAAAATGCACAAAGTTTCCTGTAAGGGGTAGGTTTAGGGGTAGGGTTGGTGTAGGGCAATAGAATATACGGTCTGTAAAGTAGAAAAACCATTACGCCTATGGAATGTCCCCATAAAACATGGAAACACAACATGTGTGTGTGTGTGTGTCTGTGTGTGTGTGTGTGTGTGTGTGTGTGTGTGTATGGGGTAAGCAATAGAATCATTTGGAGGAAACTTATCCTCATCATTTAAGCAACTACTTTTATGTAGACCTCTATTAATCAGAATATGGTTGATGTGGTTATTAACCAATTAGTTATTTCATTATTCATATATTTCTTTAAACAATACTGCATCAACTTTAAGAAACTATGGGAATATAGTCTATAAAGTTGTAATTTTAGATGTGATGCCAATAAGGTTTTGCTTTTTAATTTCTTACACAAATTTGTAGTAGGTCACTTTTGTTTGTCTAACTTGGTGATACAAAAAAATACTAATTACTAATTATTAAATCTCTTGTTGGAGAAAAGATGTTTGTATGTAGTTAACGACAAAGTCAGAGAGGATAAAAATGACACATCTTAAGAATCTAACTAAAAAATGGGATTAATGTCTCTAAAAAAGTCAAATGTTA